TCATTTTGGGTCAATAAAAATGAAAATTGAGCAACTTGTCCAAAATGGATATTTTATAATTTTCCATAATTTTTTCCAGGATTTCCATGACGCGAGAACCCCGAGTGAGGGAAATGAAGGTTTGTTTTGCATGGGGAAAAAAAACCACTGAATTTATGATTTTAGTCCCATGATTAAGAGACCCAAGTTTTTTAAAACCATCAGCACCTTGTAAAACTGGGTTGATTGTCACCGTAATTGGGGGGCACAATGGAAATGTAGGTGGTTAATGGCACACTTCAGGAAAACAAATCATTAAGGGTTGTTGAGCATCTGATTGACAGCAGATACTACCAGAATGACTTCATTCATGTTTTGATCTTCCTCAGAGTTCGGAAGATTTTGTTTTCATGAAAATAGTGTATTCCCCACTTTTATATCACCAGTGAACAAACCCCCCCCCACAAACATTTATTACAAAAACAAATGCCTGACCTCTTAGATTTAGTGAGGAAAACATGGGACCTGGGGTGGCAATCCTACAAGGAGGAGAAAGTTTCATGATTAAATGCAAGAAGGGTGGGTTTGGCATAGCCATACAACATGACAGTTACCCATTCCAGCAACAGGGGGTTCACAGCTAAAAACTATGAAATTTTACTGGATGTTAAATTTGAACACATTGTAGTTTTGCTCCACCATACTCAGCACTAGTTTACAGTATTGGACAAAAATGGATTGGTACAAAAAGCATCCCTCAAGACTTCATGAAAAGGACTGAAAAGGGAGAGGGCTGTGCTCACCGGGTCTCCTCTCCCTCCAGAAGCTTTCTGTAGGTAGCTATCTCCATGTCCAGAGCCATCTTTATATTAAGCAGGTCCTGGTAGTCGCGCAGGTGACGGGCCATCTCATCTTTCATGTTGCGGATGTCAACCTCCAAGTGGGCAATGGTGTCCTGGGATCTGGAGGATTCCAAGGCAAAGTTTTCCTCCACCTCATGCATCTGGTGTTCCAGAGACTCATTCTGGAAATGAATTTCAGAGCATTTTTATTACATGCCAGAAACCTTGCAGCATTTTCATAATCTGTTCACTAACCTACATGTACTTCCAATTTAAGAGACTTTCCCCCACACTGAAAAATGAAGGAATACAGTATGTACAAGATCTTAATCCCCTTGTTTGGCCTACAAGCAGATACTGCAGGAAAGCACAAAAGAAAGGATTTACATGAATAGGGACCTACACCTGGTAAAGTGGAATATATTCAAGTCCAGTATTCAGAGCAGTGGAGCAATAGTATGGTTGCCAAATAGAAAATGACAATGGGTGAAAGGGTTCAAGAACTTTTCTGGACAAAAATTACCCCAAAAGGTAGTTTCAGAGGCCCTTGTAAAAAAGGCAACATCATTTGCAAGCATCCCACTAGTACTGGAGCCATGGAAGTTGCTTACAGTTCCCTTGAGTGCATGCACTTCACAGGTGAGAGCTTGCACCTGTCGGCGATACTCAGTGGACTCCTGTTTGGCCTGGAGAAGGGCTTCATTATTACGGGCAGCAGCCTCCGTAAGGTCCGCAAACTGCAAGAAATTCATTCGTTGAATGAGACTGTCGACCAAAAAATACTGAACAGTGTGGTATTGGGTCTTGGCTCATGATCCAAGAGACCATTTGGCAATCTATTTCCTCATTCTTTGCATTCATAAATTACCTAAAGTCATACTTTTAAGAGGGGAAAAACATGCTACAAATGAGAATTTAACTGGTACAAGTGCATTATGTAGAACTAAAGAGGTGCCTCATAACATTAAGCAATAGAAAATGAGTTTATCCACATAAGTATGCTATAGATGACTGATCTAGTTGAAACCCCAAGTCCTGGGACCCCAAGTCCCCAAGCTCACTTCTCAGCTTTAAGCCACCAGATGGCTAGCTACCTACAGTCTGAGAATCCTCATGTGCAGGGAAGGGAGACCAACCTTGGACTTGTACCATTCTTCCACTTCAGCAATGTTCTTCGATGCTAGAGATTCATACTGTGTGCGTACATCACGGAGAGCTACTGTGAGGTCTGGTTTGACCACATCCATGTCAATCTGGACATGCTGATGCCGAATCTGGGCTTGCAGCTCAGCCACTTCCTGTGAAAAGCATTATAATTCAGCTACACTCACCACAAGGCTACTCTGCAAGCAAGATTCAGATCATTTCCAAACCCAGGTATGCAAGTCACCTACTAAGTCACAGTCAATGCACAGATCACGTCATGAGGAGGAGGGTAAAAAATAGCTTTGTTTACTGGGAACAACTGAAGAGTAGCTGTAGTGCTTATTAAGGGGGGGGGGCATTAACCTGACTTTATTCCCTTAAACAGTTCCTTGCAACATCAATACATAACTACTGTATTGTTTCCCCTCTCCCAACACCTTAAAATCAAGTTGATAGGAACTCACTTCATCATGGAGTTTCTTCAAAAAGGCAATTTCCTCCTGCAGGGACTCCACCTTACGCTCCAGATCCAGACGGGCCAGAGACGCATGGTCAACATCCTAATTAAATTAGATTTCATAAGGATTTACTTACCACCATTGAAAGGCTTGTGCCTATAATGTGGCACAACTGCACTAAAAGCCTCAGATTTCTGTTAATCCAATGATGAGCATGCAGCATTACAAGCACAAACCATCAGTATTTATTTCTTCACAAAACACTACCAAATAGGAGTGGTACCATTTTAAAATCTTAAAGCAGTATAAAACTAGTAATACTGCCCTGTAGTGTTAATCACCAGATGAATCTCAGATTTAAGATGGCTAGTGCCACATTACATTGAAGTAATATTTAAGAGTACTGTTCACACCTAAAACATTAGCATAAGCATGCAAGGTGTAGTTAATGTACCCAGTAGGTTTGTCATTTATAGGATTTAACCATTTTGCTAGCCAAATGTGCACAACACATGGCTCCCTGCCCATGCCAGCAGTCCTGCTCTCAACAGGTAGGCTGTCTAAGGAACTGCATGTCAGCTACATCTACGACCCCGATATGCGATGCAACTGGACTTGATGGGACTCTAAACCCAGAACTGCTTCAGTCCTGAACCAGAGGGTTTTACCCTTATGACAGATTAGGGTCTTTAGCCTTCTTGCTTTGCATAGAAGAGCTTGGTTCAAAGACCTTTTCCCAAAGTCCATTAACATCCATGGATTGCTGTGCAGATCTATTGAACTATTCCAGTTAAGTGATCTAGACTAGGAACTTGCTACAAACAGAAGCACTGGACACCAGCTTGAAACCAGGAACTTGCCCATCTTAAGGTGCAGACAGCACTTCATGACTAGTTGTCTCAACCCTAATCATGAGAAGGGTCAAACTGGAAAGTACCAGTTAACCTTCTCCCTGGCACAACACCATAAGTAATCTAGTGCATGAAGTCATGTAACCTGCAGAAATGTAGGGACAGTGCCAAGGGACTAAGACACTCTGCAAAACTTAATAGCAGACAAACATGGATTTTTATGAAAAAGTATTAGTACCATATGGCTAAATCTTACACAGGACAACTGCAGTTGTCAAGAATGTGCCCTTTTACTTGGCAGTTTAGATTCTCTGGTGTTAACATCTGAACTGACCAGTTGATCAGATCGTACTAGTAGCTGGAATACACTGTTGCAACAATAGTTCCCATGCAGACTGCAAAATCAGTTCTACAAGTCCATGTTTGAAGTACGATGTCCTGCAGATGCATTTGATATTAGAAGTATCCACTTTTTAAAAAAAGCTTAAAAATAAGGCACCCAGCAACCATTTCAAAATGCAGCTACTAGAACAAACGGGAAGCTACAGCGTTACTGTTTTCAAAAGATGCAAGTTCCATCTTTGAAGACGGAATCGCGTTGCAATCACGGACAAGACAAACAAGAGCTGTGGCGGCGGCGATTTAAAGTTGGTGGATCGCCGATAAGACGCTCTTTTTGGCTACAGCAGACGTGCAGCAAGTTATTGAACCCCACTGCACTACTGCTGGCGAAGATCGCATACTTGTCTGAAACTCTGCAGGTTGTTCTCGGCTTCCTCTCGAAGACGCATTTCATCCTGGATTCTGAAAGAGAGGAAAGCTCTTACGTCAGGGAAGTAGGAGAATTAAAACTCGCTGGCGCCTTCGTTTGAAAGGGAAAGACCGCAAGAACCCACGAGCAAATAGCAACCTGGGTTACCGAGGAGTTTCAGTCGCTTTCTTTCGGCGAAAACGGATGCAACTATAAAACCCCCTAAGTTTTTGGAACTCCTGCATCTTATGGGCATTTGATGCATCAGGAGTTAACTGCAGCGAAAGTCAATACAGCACTTGCCTCCCGGTTTATGCATCGTGCGCTGCAAAACAGAAATGAGCGACTATGAGCTCCTCTGCGTTGAGACTCGCCATTTTAAAGTTCCGGGATTAAGTGCTGATTTAGTATGCAATTACCCCAGTGATTAACGTAATTTAAACAGGTCGGAAATACTGAAAACCGCTTAGTTTAAAATGTCACTTAAATACCCAATACCTTAGTTATCTTCGCAATAGAAACTGGATGGAATGATAGGACACAGTTTAGATATATCGCCAAATATCATATACTGCAGGCTTATTGCTAGTTTTAAACAGTTTGATCAGATCACTTCAGTCCTCACTGTGGCGTCAATCAGGGTTACTTACTTCTCCCTGAGCCTCTGGAGATCATCATCTAGGTTATCACGCATGACCTCAACCCTGGCTTTGTCGGTGGTGAGCTGGTCCACTTGCCCACGAAGCTCTCTCATCTCCTCTTTATAGAGGTCTCCAACGCGAGAGATGCCCTTGCCCTGCAACTGCTCCAGCTCCGCTAGCAGGATCTTGTTCTGCTGCTCCAGAAAGCACACCTTCTCGATATAACTGACGAACCTGTCGTTAAGGTGCTGCATCTCCGCCATCTCGTTGGACTTACTAGCTTTAAAATCGGTTATAACGGCATCGGACAAGGAAAAGTCTGAGGTTTCCGTGGACAGCCTGGGCATCGTAGCACTGGACCGGAGCCTACTGGTGTTGGTCGCATAGATGGCGGGGGGAGCAGACATGCTGTAGGATACCCTGGATCGAATCGGACTGGAATACCGGCGGCTTGAGAAAGAAGTACTAGGAGCGATAGATCTCTCCCCACCAAACATCCTTTTGTAGGAAGATTGCCTTGTAGTTACACTGGACATTTTGTGATCGTTGTTGTTTTATGCCTTGTTTTTATTTTGGGACGTCGGCAAGTTTACCAAGCCGTTCAAGCACACCACACTCCAGCAGATCAGGTCCAGTGAAGTCCAGTAGCCCTGCCCTCCTGTTTTTATAGTCCGTTCATTATGCAAATTAGATAACGGCACCTGGGGTTGATTGACGTCCCGGGGAACCAGTTAAAGAGCTGAAAGAGGAGACCAGAGATACTACTAATATAGTTCAGGTGTGTAGCTTCGTCAGCATGCGTTTTCTGCAAAGGAACAAGCGATAGGTTTATTCCATGCTGAAAAGAGAAGAGAGGAAACGTTGTGTTTTCTCTTTTCAGCATGGAATAAACCTATTACTGGTAACTTTACTGTTAATGTATACGAGCAGATATCGTCGCTTTGAGTGTTAACCCACTTCAGAAATACGTCTTGCCTTTTTCTGGGTGGAAAATACAACTAGTTTAGTGAAGGGAGAACGAATAGGGTTAATGGGTTATTGGCTTTTACTTCACTGTTGAACCCTTTCAAAGCTGTTTATTTTCTCCAAACTGAGGTCTATGGTGAATGTCATTTTGGACATTCACATAAAAACGAGAAATAACCTTATGAACCTTTTAATCGCAGATCGAAACACATCAGTGGTTTCCTTTCCCTTACTTATACTGTAAGTCACATTTGTTGAATCCATTTTCAACTTGATTTAGTTTTTGGGCGATGTATTTTACAAGCCCTTTGTATGCACATCGGCTTCTTTCCTGAATCAGAACTGAGAAAGTGCACAAAAGGATTTACGAGAATTGGAAGGAAAACTTCATTTATTAATAACCTGCATGATTAATATAAGTAATAAAAGCACAATAATACAAACTATAAACCATCATAATCAAACCTTGGGATGGTTATACCGTTTCTAGCTAGAATATGAACAGGAAGGCAAGCATATACCGATACTGTATGCTAAAGAAAATATGAAGGTCTGTTTAAACAAAAACCGTAATACTTTATAGCAAGATAATAAAAACGTTTAAAATAGTTAAAAATGTTTATCCTTCAAATAGATATACAGTAAATATGTACAGAGTACAGACAACTTAATTCCGTATACACTCATCCTTCGCTGTACGAGCAGAACTGGGTCCAACATTTCTGGTTGAAGGCGAGAACCTGCGATACCAACATTAAATTCCATGGAGATTTGCTGCCCAAGTCCAGATAAAACGTCCGAAGTGCTCGTAACAGGACACAAAGAAGTTGTTTAGGTACTTTCCTGCTGTATTTGAATAGCATGACGACTTAAATTGCTAAGTATATGTGACAGTATAGTCATCTAACAAAGATTAAATATAGTATGTCTCGCTCGTTTTAGTAATTACTCGTAAGTGCTTTAACGTGGAATTTGTATTATTATTGTAACGGATTCGGGTTCTAGGGCTTTTGCCCTCGCCGCTCCAGCCCCAGTTCGTCTATGAGAACAATACCTTAAAGTTATTTAGTTTCTGGTTAAAACTGTGGTAGGGAAAAGCACCTAAAACTAAGTATTTTAAGCACGACAGTTCACTTCTGCACAGCATGGTTTACTCAACGGAGCCCTGTAAAGGGTGTGGCGCTGTTTCAAATGTATCAGCGTTTTGCGGCTGAGGAAAACAAATAGGTGTCAATCACTAATTATTATTATTATTATTATTATTATTATTATTATTATTATTATTATTATTATTATTATAATTCCTCCTTCCTCCAAATCTTTTTCTAGATCTCTTCGTCATACCTTCTCTTCCTCCCTGGGCCACTTGCCCGCTTCTCTCACTAAACCAGCATT